CTAGGAACAGGTGCCTTACTAGTAGTAACAAGAAGCTAGTAGAAACAGGTGCCTTACTAGTAGTAACAGTACCTCAAAAGTCGCGGCAAAAAGGGCAATCTGACCATGCCTAGGACTCAGGACCAATCAAAATGTAAAACAATAGGGCACGCATGCCCGGGAGAGTCAGCAAGTGCAAGGATCACACAAAGCTGAGGTCCCAGAGATGCTGCCTAGAACACAAGCTCATTAGAAATATGCAAAGAAAAATGAAGGCTGGGGAGGAAAACGAGGGTAAGGCCGCTTATTAAAGGGAGCCTTACCTTCCATTTTCCCTGTCCTGTTTAGGCCCTCGCTCCAGCTCACTAGACCCCAAGACTTGCAAAGCTCGATCACAGGACTTCGCTGACAACTTGTTTCTTTTCTTTTGGGAGGGGTAGGCCGCTAAGAAGGTAGTTGGCTGTAAGACGGTGAGAGAATGCCTCTTGCGCAGCTGCTTCTGCTGCTGCTGATGCAACCGGCGCATCCTTTCGTCAAAGATTTGATAGATCATTCGGTGGAAGCTAACACACACAGCTTGCCTCTGTCTTTTTGGGTGGGGAGAAGTCAAGACCTCGCAAGACAAGCAGGCGTGGGAAGATCCAGCCCAGAAAACCAGACAAACATAAAGGATCATAAAGGTCTGAAACCGAATATGACGGAATCAATCATACTTGACTGGCCAAAAGAAAAGAGTCCCTTCAATACCCTTCAGAGATGCAAATGGAACTACAGGATGCACCAAAAGCGAACGATTTCTTGGCAAATATTTTGAAAACGCAAAGGTGATCAGGAAAGGAACCGAGTTCCTCGCAAGCTCTTCACATACTCAAACTGCAGATTGAGGAACCGACGTCGTGCCGCCACCAAAGCGTGAGGTGCAGCGAAGCCCAGAGCCTTACAAACGCATGCATTCCAAAGGCATTCCTGTTGAGACAAGCATGTTGGAATGTTCTTGGAGGTATTTTTGGCAACTGTTTCAGTTTCCAACAAACTAGGAACCAAATCAATCATGCGAAGGGTTCTTTAGTAGCGGCCGCCCTTCCACGGCCTGACCCCATATATGTCCGTTGAAAAACAATGGTATATATTTGTATCTTGTAGTTTGTGTATATATATAATTACATATCAGCTACATGTCTGTATATAGTATTATAGCAGATCTAATTTGGGGAAAAGCTTGCTGCCAAGGGCTGCACCACGAAGCAAAGACAAAGTTCGCAGGCCGTGACTGAGCCCTTGAGACCAATTCCGGCTGGACAAACAAAACGAGACTGTACAACACAATCGGCTGCAGAAAAGAGAAAACACTTGGAGTCATTGATCAAAGGAAACATTTGATCCAATCAATAAAGATCAGTTTCGGCGCATGTGGAGCAGTCCTTCATCAAGCCCATGGCAATGCACAGGAGGATGATACTGAGCGCAAATGGACAAGTGATGTCGAAACACCATCAAAAACAGGGCAAAGACATAGCGATCCAAAGGTACCAGGCCTGATGAAGAGCCCAATGCAACTGAGAGTATGCGCCAGAGCAAGGCCATCGTGCAGCCTGCACCCATTGAGGATTTAGTTGAACAAGAATAAAACAATTGAAACCAACCGTGCTGCTGAGACAAAGAGCACACGCCTCTCTGACCGAAGGATGCGAATAAACTTGTTGATTTGAACATCTCCACCATCCATTGGCAAGCCTTGAAAGGTAAATGCAGTGGTGTGTGTGTGTGTTTCTCGAAGAAACATACTGCAGAAGCACTGCTAAAAGTGTCCGTAAGTTCATATCGACGCCTGCCTCTTGCATCATCATCAATGATGCGGATGGCAGCTGTTGAGAACCCAGCCGCCCACCAAATGCCCATAGAGGCTACCTGACGTGAGTTGCTAGCCGAAACGGGATTGTATACTTTGCATTGAGGAAGTATTATCCAACCAAAACCAAAGCATCGTTGACTTTTTGGTCATGGCCCTTGTTTGAGTGTTTTCTCCAGCGAGCTCTTGCTCTTTGCTTTCTTCGCTGAGTTCCTGGCTGCCAAATTTTCGGTCCAAGATACCCAGAATGGCAAATGTTCTGTGTAACCTTCGTGGTATCCTTGCAACGGAATTCTGACAAACCCACCGATGTCAACTCGAGTTTGGGAAAGCCAATCAAAAAGCGCAACCAAGTCAAGCGCCTTCAAACCTCATCGCGCGAGTATGGATGGCAATGAAAAGCGCATATACCACCTGGATATGTGGCAATGGAGGAAATTAGGTCTTGCAGAACAGAAATCGCCTGTCCTCGCTTCCAAAAACAATGAGCAAAATGCAAAGGACCCAACTGCCCAACAATGGGCCGCTCCAGCTGCCACCTGTCTTGAACGACCAGCAGCTAATCTGTTTCACAAATAGCCTCTTCAGATTACTGAGCTCATGGCAAGCAACAAGGCATTGCTGATAAAGGCATGCTCCGCCTTTTCCACCCACTGTAGCCAACCAAGCAAACTGCCAGCAGCGGGGCTTCGCTTGCAAGACTTCATGGAAGGTACAGCTTCACTTCACAACAGGTTGCAGTTTTGCCTCCTCACTGCAAAGTAAGCCAATGGCTGCATACTTCACCTTCAACAAATAAAAATGCTGCAAGAAGAGACCAGTTTTTCGTTGCAGGGTGAACCAGCCAGCCTTGCCGCTAAAACTGGAAGCCTTTACCTGGCAGGAGCAACAAAGGCAGTGAAAGCATAATTTGCTGTGGCAATGAACTCAAAGCAAGTGGAGTCCTGGACGCGCAAATCACAGCACACTCCCAACAAAACTGCGAACTGCACAACTACTTCATGAAATCATGGCTGCGGAGAGAATGACAATGTCTGAAGCAACAAGGGAAATGTAGTCACTCACATCTGTATGTCATGTGCCAGGCAAATTCCTCCATCCAAAGGTTCTGCTGAAGCAACTGAACAAGAAACAACTTTATTGTGAAGAGAAGAGGCCATCAAAACATGTCTGCTTTAATGGAATCTGCAATGGTTGATCTTTCCTGACACAAATACCTACCCCTGTATTTATTCCAGCAATGGTCTTTTGCCTGCATATTCTCATCACGCACGTCACGCAAACGCCACAACAGCACGTGGCATGCCCAGCCCTTTCTCGGCAACACATCAACACACGAATGTGATCGGAACAGCGTGAACCCCACAGATGAAAACAGCGCTCCGGTTGTGGCTTCAGTTTGGTTTGTATGGCTTTGATGATGGTGTGTTCATTCAATGTGTGCGTGCAAACACAACCTGGAACCAGCGTAATTGAAATGTGTCATTTAGTTTGTTTTCTTGTTGCGCCAAGTTATCCAGTTTTGATTGTCTGGATGGTGGGGTCTTTGTTTGGCGGTGGGGGATTGACTCAAGAAGACGAGTGACGAGTGCCGTGTCTCGTTTACAACTCTTCCTGCTTTGTGTCAGAATGCTTCTACAATAGGATCATGACGAAAGCCCATGCCAAAGAGAAAAAAGCCTGCGGTGAGTTGCATTCTGGTCATAGGCTCACTTTCCTAAAAGGCCTGCATTAGTACAGCTGGCGTCCAATGGGATTTGCACTACGAGCTCAGAAGCTCTACGAAGGGACCCACCCCTCCGGCCGAACACGCTGGGCTGTACAAGCCCAGCGTGTTTGGAATATTAAGGAAATTGAATGTCTATTCATAACAAAGTGACAACGCTGGTCATTGTGACACGGTTTGCTTATGCAAATGACTAAGCACTTTTCAAAAGCGAGTTTTCTGTTGTTTTGTCCCTGCAAACATATAATGAGTGTGACATAGTGTGACGCTGATCGCTGTTGTGTTTGAAGACATTGACATGGGGAACATGTTGGAAAGTCAAACAAACTGGTTCATGTTGTCTTTTTGCAGGTTTTGCAGTATTGACAATCAGTTGTGGTTGACGAGTGCGCCACTCGATCTTCTGTTCTGAAACGATTTGCATTGCTAACATACATGTGAGAATCGACCATTACAGTGTCCTTTCGACAACGTCCCTCCTTTGTCCCATCTCAAAGCTGTGAAAGCCTCTTTGATGGGTGAACCCACGACGAAAAGAATTGCAAGTGAGAAGTGAGCACAACCATGACTAGCTGACTAGCAATTCAGCGGTGATCCAACCATGATCCTATCATGCTTACACTTGATGCGCACACTGCATGTTCTCGAATCTGTCAGCCCCAGAGCGAAAGTGCCCATGGGCTGGCTTCAGGTAAGGAAAGCAACCTAAGATCTGAAGCCGCACAGCTCTAGTTTTCAGATGCACGATGATCGAGGTTTGTGAGGGAGACTGTGTCTGGTCGCGAATCCTGGACTGCAAAGCTCCTCGGTTCTCTTGAATTTCAGGGCATGTTTCTCAACCAAATGAGCAAGCGCAAGAGCATTGCAGTCTACCATCTGCACAAATTCGAGAACACATACACAGACATGCACTCACGCTCATTTCAGCGAGTGCTTCTACTTGCAGCTGTTATTTCCAGGGATCACTGTGCAAAACACCTCCGTCAGCAGTGAGTGAAATATGGATCTGTTTTGCTATAGTTAGACTGACTGTACTGTGCTCTGAAGTGAGAGTTAAGGATCAAGCATCACACCCCTATGGATGACGTGGTTGCATGATGGCATAGCTCTGAGCACCACCAACTGCAACCGACAGCCCCTTGTAGGCGTCCTCAACTTAAGATTGATGCAAGTTATTTAGATCACGTGAAGTTGGCATGACACACAGGATCATGTGCGAACACATGATACTCTCTTGGCCTCAGACAAATGGTATGTCATCTACCGCCTGTGGCTTCACAAAGGTGTCGTCCGTCTCGTCCCCTATTGCTTGCTTTTGCCGGTTGTACCTCAGGAAGTTTGGCACCATGTACCAGGGTTCAATGGCAATGCAGCGACCCCGAGAACCCTCTTGGCAAACGGCCCCCAGCCACGCAAGGTACCATCCTCAGACACCAAAACGTTCCATTTTGAGTCTCTCCCCAAGCATAGCTTAAGCGTCTGACGTAGCACACCAAAATTCCGTGTGCCTTGTAGCAACCGCATTCGGGCTGTGGACACCATTCTGACGTCAATGTGATCAACAATCAGCCTCGCCCACTGACGCTTCGGTGACCACTTCGGTCATCACTTCGACACCAGTGGTGCTGACCATGTCCATCACACCAGCCTCAGCGGCCAAGAATCCCTTGGAAAGAGTATATAGCAAATCCACTTTATTCAGGTGGAAGGTATTGACATGTATTGATTGCATGCCAAGGAGCCTCTGGTTGAGGGCCTTGAGAATGAAACACTTTGGGAAGCAGCACACTGTGAACAGTGAGGAGAGCATAAAGCACTCAAGGGATCTGAAGGCAGTCACCTTTGACTTTGTCAATAAAAACTGAGGTTTTTGCCGCCGCCATAGCCTCCTCTGGACATCTCCGGCGCAGGTCCCTCACCATCCTCACCAGCCTGGACAGTGAGCCACTCTGTACAATGACCATCTACTGGGCCGACCGAAGCGTTTGCGCACAAGCTCGGCATCTCTCAGCTGGGTAGGCGACTTGCATGTCAGCGACACTGGGCCCCTGTCACAATCAAGCGAGACTTTCTAGACGTCTCTCTCCATCTCTTTCTTGTACAAACTCTCTTTGGAACCTCGGCTCGGATGCCACCACAAATGATAGGGCGGGCACTCTCAGTGATGTATGCCTCAGGCAAAGTTTAAAAAAATTGAGAATAGCCATGACCGACAGAAGAGGTTCGAGTTCTTGCTCACTGTTGCCACAACATCTTAGGCTTTTGCTGTACACTGCCAGCCAGCACGCACCTTTGACACTGGATCGCCCAATGGAATCTCAACCTCAATTTCTCTTCTTGCAACACACAGCCGAGGCAGTGACTTGCCAAAGGACAAGAAGTTTAACCCTTCATTTATCGCACAATGCTAGGGTGCTGACAGGCTCTGGAAAGCATTGGCGCATCGCATGGCCAAGCCTAGAGCGAAGCAGGCCGGGTACAACGAACGAGGCAAACCAGCACAACTGTTCCGAGAGTTCCAGTCAAAGCTCTGCGCTGACCATTGGTGTTTGATCCAAAGCCTTCAGTGCCACTTGCAAGACTTCAATGCACATCACTGGTGAATAAAGTCTCAGGGCTGGGCCAAAAATTCGGCAATTTTTGGTGACAGCCACAGTGTGGCCGCCTCCACCTGAATTCTTCCCCGAATGAACGATACTCTTCGAACTGACGCTTTATTCCGGCTCAATGTGCTCTTGTAATTCATCAATCTGGAACGAATAGTGAATTCTCCGCCGGGAGCAGCACAAGCAAAATCTATGATCTCCTCATTCTCCAGCAAACCTTTGACCTTGAGAAGATGAAACCATCTGAAGAGGCTTGAACCCAAAAAGGCGTGATCATCTTTCAGCACTTTAGATTTGCCTGATTCGGTCTCTGCTGTCCAACTCTGCCTTCACCATGCAAGCCCCAGCCTTAAACATCAGGCCAAACATGGAGAAAGCATGCTTTTCAGAGCGACGTGCGCCAAGCATTCAACTGCTGAGTTCAGCTCCAAGCTGGCCAAAATCATTGTAGCCCCATGTGTAGAGCTGCAAGAGTAAAAGGATGGTAGTGGGTGAAGTGACATCGAATCAAAATCTTAAGAAAAAACTCTTTGACCAACACCTTCAACTGGCCTTCCCTTCCTTCGTCAGCGCACCCATATGTTGGTCACCGGCACAAACTCGAACAATCTTGAGACCCTGCCCATGCGCCGCAAGTGCCCATGTTGCCCATGTGATTGGGACATCTCAAAAGGATTCTTGCGGAAGTTGTCGAAGTTGGCCGCAGGTCTTTCGCTCCTTTAGGCCCATCTCTCCCTTGGCTTCGTAGCCATTACACCTGAAGTCATGAAAGTCATGGAGACTCCTTGCACGGTTTTCATTTCAGTACCGAGGGCTACACCAGGTGTCCGTAAAGAGTCTCGGAAAGTTGGAGGCCTGAAATAAGCATTGAAAAAGCATCGACGAAACAATTCGTTGAAAAATGCTTCCCCTACGGATTCTCTTGACGCCTGGAACCTTCCCCAACTCCACACTTCTCCTCGCTTGGTGGCACCGATGGTGTAGTTGCCTGCGGAAAAGTCTGCCACTTTGTTCATACAAGAAGGAAGCAAACTGAGTCGAATCTGAGTCAATAGAAAGCTATGCACTTGTACATGGAGGGCCTCCAGCAGCAATTTGTGAAATGTAAGTCTCGTATGGGAGCTCTGTATACCTGATCCAAGCTCATTTGAGGCGCTTGTTTCGCAATGTTTCACATACCAGCAAATATGCAACGCAACCTTTTGCCTCAGGCAAGTGCGATGGAAGTGCCCGATTCTCCTGCATGTTTGGAGCTGCCGCAAGCTCTTCAGTGCTCGTGTCTGGATGACTTGTGGTGCTCCTCGTCACCTGTTCCAAGCTGTCCAAAGTCATTCTTGCCCCAGGCCTCAAGTTGATGCTCTCTCCACCCGTTGTCGTTCGAGCAAGAAAGCAAAGCATCTTCGAATCAAGTGGCAAAAACTCGGCCACCTTCCGTCAGCGCCACAGCATGTTCTTTGCCCACGCTGATCTCAAAAAAGAAACAAAGCATTGCGTCTGGGCATGACTTTCAGACTCTTAGAGTTGAAGGGGCCTGTCCTGACTTATTCTTTTTCGCTGCAGGGTCAAGACCGGTGACGGCGTGTCACCTGCACATTTCGTGCTCGGTGTGTCAGCCTTTCAGATCGTTTCATGTCTTCAACTACATCCTAGCCTTTCGGGTCGCTCCAAGAATTGGAGCCCCAGAAGTACACGACATTTTCCTGGAAGCGATGGTTCCCTGTCTTGGAAGCATCCTTTTCCACTGTTTTTCTGACGTCTCAGTCTAAGCCATTGTCTGGCAATTTTCCCGGAGATGACCTTAGCAGCTCCGGTGACCAATTCATCGAATCAAGTGATTCTGAAGCAAGCTGGCTCCCAGACCCGTCTACTACATAGATCAGACCACCATATCCGACGTAGCCAGCGATCGAGTCCTGTCGTTGTCCCAGCAAGAAATAGGCCATGACTGCTGCTGGCCGATACACTAGCAAAGCATGTGTATGTGGACATACATGTGTCTAGCATGGATATCAAACAACCGAATCGCCTCATCAGGGATAGCAATGCCAGTCTCGCTTCGCAGGTGCACACTGTGGACCGACCTGGTTCCACCGGAAATGAGTCTCATACAAACGAAACAACTCTCTGTGAGTGTTTGTCGCTTGTCATGGTCAAAGTTGACTCACATGTGTGTGTGCACGAAAAAAAAGGAAAAGAGAGAGAGAGAGAGATTTTAAAAATTGAAACAACAATAGTAATAGTAATAAAATAATATATATATACACATATGTAAATGAAGGGTGAGATCAAGCCACACATTGCGTGTGTGTGTGTGTCAAAGCCTGTTTCCAAGGCTGCACACATGTCTTGTACAAAAGCTAATCTTAGTAACGCAAAAACAAAAGGCAGGGGGTGGCAGCAGGAACGAGAGTCTGCCACCAATGAAGACACTCTCGATTTCCTGGTGAAACTGGGACTGATCATCCCAGCGTACCTGCCAATTTTAATTGCCTCGTCGAGTTTCACCCATGTTCAAACCTTCTGTTGCTCCGACTCAGCACTCCATGCCGTTTTGCAAGTCAAGGTCTACAATGCAAGGGGCAATGTAATCGCTAAAGTGGGACTTCACTCTGAACTTAGCTCTTGCGAGCAATTCTCAAAGTGTGTTTCGCCACAGAGTCCCACTGAGGGCTGTGGTGTGATCCCACCGAGGGGCGCAGCATGTGCATAGACCCAGATCCTGGGGGACCCACTCTGATTGTTCCGTTCTTGCACTTGAACTTCTTTATGCAATCCCACTGATTGGCGGAACCGCACGAGACTGCTGATTGAACGCCGCAGGGCTTACTGTGATCAGATCCAGTTGGGAATTTCACACATGAGCATGCTTGGACGGGACACCTGCACGGGTCGAATGCGTCATTCGGACGACTTCGAGTTTTGCTCGAGGCTTCTAGGTTCAGGTGAAGGGTTGCTCGATGCTTTTCAGGTTTCAGGTGAAACTGTACCGCCTTTTACGGCCGAGCGGAAGGAGAGTCCAGAACGTGAACGACTAAGTAATCTCTTCTGGTTCTTTTGTTTTTTCCTTCCTGTTGTTGCTTCTTGTTTTCTTGAGGCCTTTCTTCAGGTTTCTTTAGGTTTCAGTCAAAGATGCGCCAAATGTGGCTTTACTTGAATGCCAGCGACGGCAATGCCTGCGGGCCACCCTAACCCACCCTCCCCTCTAGGAAATCGCACTCAACACACTTGTGTGTTGGTGTCTCCTGTCCTAGTTCTAGCTACCCGGGCGGTCTAAGACTAAAGTCCCGCTCGCTAACTATTGCGTGTAGTTCGCGTAACTAGAAGGCTTCGTAACTAGGGGGCCCCGTAACTACTCCTATCTTTCTCTCTTGCCCTCTTCGTTTGCTCTTTCTGTATTTTCTTTTTCTGTCTTTCTTTCTAAGGCTTGTTAGGTGGCTAGTACTTCGCGTGAGCGCCGATCTCGGCGTGGTGTGTGTGTGTGTGTCAAAGCCTGTTTCCAAGGCTGCACACATGTCTTGTACAAAAGCTAATCTTAGTAACGCGATAAAAAAGGCAGGGGGTGGCAGCAGGAACGAGAGTCTGCCACCAATGAAGACACTCTCGATTTCCTGGTGAAACTGGGACTGATCATCCCAGCGTACCTGCCAGTTTTAATTGCCTCGTCGAGCTTCACCCATGTTCAAACATTCGGTAGCGCTTCTTTTGTGCCAAAAAGGTCGACCTGCGTTCACAGCTTACTGCCTATGACACGACAATGCTTGTAAGTTCACTCCGCTCTGGTTCTGTGCTTGGCTGGAGCGCTCACTTCGCACAGAATGCGCATGGCCGGCGGGTCTGGATCTTTCAAGTCGCCTTACTCGTCACTACGTGGCAAAGCTTGTTTGCGTGCCACACTTCACCTGTCTGTGCCAGGTAGATGTCTTTGCCCAGCGGACACATTGCTCTGTGCATTTCTAGGCCTCGATCACTCGAGGAGCTTGCCGACGTTGTCGTTGTCGGATCTTCAAATTGGCGAAGCCGATGTCGTAGCCTCGATTGTGCTTTCTCTTCTTCTTTCGCTTGGTGTAGGGACCATGTCAGGTCCTTTTCCAGCAACTCTTTCTCCTTTTCCAAATCGGCCACTTGCTGCCGAAGGTTCTTGATCTCGGCCAGCAAACCAGAGGTGGTGTAGAGATCACACTGGCTCTCCTTGTCCTTTGCGTGCTTGATGCACCACTTCAACACTTTCTTCAGGCCTGTCCAGGCCAAATGCCACAAGGTCACGGAGATCACCGCGATCATCGCCATCATGTAGTACACGGTGTTGTCCTTTTCTTTCTCTTCCACATCTTCTTTCTCCGCTGCTTTTCCACCTGTCATGAGGGCGAAGAAGCATAGCGTCACCAGCAAACTTGTAGAAGGCCTTGTCGACGATGAAGTATGGCTCTTCAGCAACTGCTCATCTCCAAGGCTCAAATGTGCTTCTTCAATCTCTTCCACCATAGGTAGTCGTCTGGCTTCGATGGGATGACCGTCCACGTTGAAGAATCTCAGGATGCCACTCGTGAGCAGCTCGTTGAGTGGTGGTGAGATCATCACTTTGGTCAGGGCATCACTTGTCATGCATTCCGTTGGAATCATGATGACCCAGCGAATGCGGCCACATAGCCTGGCCTCTCGGTGAGCCATGATGTAGATCCTTTGGCCCTTATCCTGAAGCATGGACTTGACTCCTGTTGTGAGCTCGTAGAAGTCGCGACAGTCTGTGTAGACGTCCACAGGAAGGAAAGGAACACCTCGCTCTTGGAGCGCTGCCAATTGAGCCAACGTTGGTTTTGGCTCTGCCATCAACAATTCGCCAAGTCTCAAGGCCACCAGTGAGGAGGATTCCAAACCATTGATTGCAGCTAAAGTCTCTCCATGGCTTGTGCTATAGCTGATGCGTTTGGCCTTGTTCCCTTGCGCCCACAAAATGTGTGCTGGACCGCCAAAAAGTTCAAGATCATAGTGCAGACCATTGATGTCATGCAAGGATGTATCCAGATTGAGCCGGTCCACTGTCAGGAGCACCAAAATGGAACACATGCTAGGCGCCAGCCTGCACGAGGAGGAAGTCGTCTGTAGACGATGCCAAGGTCTTTGTACTTCTTGTCTTGCGCTCTCTTGACGATTGCGTGTGCCATCCTAAGGTGCTTGACCTTTGCTTGTGTGACAAAGGTTTGAAGTCGGCAGACTTCGGCGATGAGGTCCATGCGGGTCGCTGTCAACCAGAGGAGGCCACCTAATATAGATCTGTACTGCGTCGTCTCGTCTTTTGTGAGGGAGCGCTCTTCATCCTTGTCATCCTTGATGTCAGTCATCTTCAATGAATCGGTGAAGTCATACTGCTGGGTGCGATATCCTTGGGCCACCTTCTCGTAGACCATGCCACAGTGCTGGAATGGCATCTGTTCTCTTGTTACTTTTCCAAATTTCTTCGTGAACCTCATGTGAAGTTCTTCCAGCTTCTTGGGTACCGTGGCAATTGCAATGTCATCGACATGCGTGGTAAGGATGGTCTCGAGCTGTCCACTGGGTGTCTTCCAGAAGAACATGTTCTCGTCAAAGACTGACTGTCGTCCTCCAAGCTCCTCCACAAAGTCGTGAAGGCATAGTTGCCAGGCTAGTGGCGCGTCATTCAACCCGTACACTGGCTTATTGCAGCCCAGAAGGTAGTCGCCCATCTGCGACTCAGAGATCTCGAAGCGCTTGTCCATCTTGGCGAGGTGTCGCCAAATTTTGGCTGGAGGAATGATTGCCACCAGTCGACGGGGAGAGATCACTCCGCGTTCTCTGAGCTTCTTCCTCACCTGGTCAAAGGAAAGCCCCTTCAAGAAGGCGCCCGAAACATCCAAGGACTCAATGCTCATAGCTGCGGCCAAACTCACCAGGATCCTCTGTGACAGCCGAGTAGCTGTCGTGGATCTTGTAGGCATCGAGGTCTTTTGTGGGTCCAAAAAGCCTCTTGCACAGAGTCGGCTTTTGGCCTTCATGCTCCTGTCGGGATTGCGTTTGAACTTCCGGACCCAGGTACAATCCACGATTACCATCTCTTCGGTGACTTGGCTGATGTGCAGCTTGAAGAAGGCATCCTCGTCCACGAACTGCTTCAGCTCAGCAAAACCTGACAGTTCGAAAGCTTGCCAATGTTTTGCCAGCTGTTCTTCAGTGAGGACGTCTGTGTCCGAGTCAACACGAAAGACCTCTGTGGTGCGAAGGTCCATGGAGAGGATCTCTTCTGTCTTGCCGTGAAAATGGAAGAGAAAGTGCTTTGGTTGTTTTCTTGCGCTTGTCCATGGAAGCTGCCGGTTGTACTGCATGATGAGCGATTGATCATTGAACCAGATTCCATCACTCTGGTACTTGATCTTCTGCGGCCTCTGCGTCATCCACCATAGAGACTTGAGCAGTAGTTCTTGTTCTGATGGACCGCTGTCATCTGCATACTCATAGCGAGCTTTCTTCTTCTCAGGAGCCAGCACAATGGTACGAGACTCTGGTCCGTCTCGCTTCCTGGACTCTGACACATCCATGGCTTCAGCTGTGCTATCCATTGCTGTTGGCTGTCGAGTGGTGATCTGAGCTGGAGGCGACTCTTCGCTGTAGAAGGTGTAGTAGAACAAACAGAGGTGACAAATGTCTTCCAACACCACATGCATCACCTTCTTGAGCGTCAGATGACTGTCCCCGTTGTGTTCCATCGTGATGTACTGCTTGGAGTTCTTGGGCCATGAGATGAGGACACCTTTGGAGTACTTTGGCGCGTAGATCTGTTTCACTGCACGACCAAAGCGGATTCCGCGCAGTTCTTTCTTGCTAAAGAAGGATGCCACTCCGCGGGCCTTGTTCAGGTACTCGATGTCCTTTTCTTGCATCTCTGCTGGAATCTTGACCCATTCGTGAGAGGCAGTTGAAGAAGTCTTCAAAACATGTGCAAGTGTTAACAGCTTGTAGGGATCGCTGGCCTCGACCATCTGCTGTAGGTCCAGCATGTCTTGCTCACAAATCTGTTCCATGTTGTCAGAATGGCAATGCGAAAAGAAACTGCCTCGATACGGTCTGA